AAATTTGCAATTAATGTTTCGCGAGGGGCTAGAGAAAATGGTTGACTCCACGAGAGTGAAGCCAACGCTTTTAATAAGGTCGTTTGTTAACTGATTTATTTGAATAAAAAAAGTGATGCCTTAGACAAGGGTATGTTGTTTATTATTTGGCAAACTTTTAAACATCTATGTCAGCAATAATGCAGATACTGTCCAGAAATATGTCAGTGACGATACTTATAATTATTGCTAGGGCGGCTGTAACCGAGCAATTGGCTGGTGATGAAAGGACTTTTGTGATTAAAATTTGATGACAGATAAGCATGTAAATGACATCTTTAAACTCTCTAGCCAGCCAGCCATATAGTTGTATTGAAAGAACTCGCCTCCGAGTGGCATTCTGAAAACCCTTTAATTAAACGCCCTTGCTTCTATCAATGCTCCAATATAAATTTTCATCATCCATCCAGATCCATATACAGTTACGAAATCAAAAAAAGGATGGGTATTGACTGGATTGTAGGTTGGTTTTTCACTTTCTTTGGTCTGTTAGGAAACACCTGGATTATTTTCATCATCGCTAAAAGAAGAAGGCTACAAACGACCACAAACTGGTTCATCCTTTCCTTGGCGGTGGCCGATCTGGGTGTTACTTGCGGATATTTTCCAGCGTCCATGATCTGCAATGTGCTTGTGGATACATGCAACAACGGTCTTCGCCTCATATTCGCGAACTTTTTCAGTGAAGTTTCTGTCACTTGCTTGATCGCTATGATTGGTGAACGCTATATCGCTATCGTACATTCGTTGAGATACATCCATTACCTGACCACTTCTAGGGCAGTCACCGTTATCACGATCTGCTGGGCATTTCCTTTTCTTTTGGCCATTTTCCGGCTTATGGTCTATCTTGGCAGCGGTGAGGATTTAATCGCAGAAACGCCTGTACTCGCTTTCATTCACATCATGCTTTTCCTATTCCTGCCAACAATATTTCTTTTCGCAGCACATCTCCATATCCTATTAATTGCTCGCAAACTCTCTCGTGAGATGAAAGTTCTTTTGAAACAGGTGAGATTTAACGTAGCAGCAGACTCGGTGAAAATAATGGAGGTTAGAAATGTAGGATTAAAAGCTTCCACAGTCAGGCTGGTAACTGTGCTTGTTATCATATGTATGGCGTTTTACGGAATAGATATCCATCTGTCGATATGCTTTTATTTTAATCTCTGCGATGAGTCCTATTATGAAACAGTGGCAGCTGAAATGCTCCTCTTGACCAATTCTACGTTGAACCCTCTTGTGTACGCTTTTCTCAAAGAAGATATCAAAGCAGAATCAAAAGCTTTCCTTTGCTGCAGAAGGAAACTGAACCGATGTCCCTCTCAGCTTCATCCAGAGTAACGAGCCGCGAGATAAATTCATACCTCGGTGACTACGAAAATGGGTAAAAACTGACACACGACTGAAAATATCTGTTCTCAAGCTAGTCTTTGTTGTGTGCTCTCCCCAAATATGCACAATACATGACTTTTTTGCATAGGTCTTTCATCGCCATCATTGTCCGAATAAAGGCTTGAAAAACAATGTAACTGTAAGTGATCATAAGATGCTTCATGAAAACCTAAAGATTTCTCTCGATTGAAACCGATTAAAAGTAAAGAACTTGTAAACAACTGTACTTTCTCTATCGTAAGTCTTGAGCCATCTGTTACAGCGATTAGATCTGAACACTGAGAATTTGTGTATAATTACAAGAATGTAGAGAGACGAAATTAAACAAATAATAATGTCCATGAGAGAGGAGAGGAAGGTATATGTACGTAGATTACGTAGGTTCAAGGACTAGTGGCTCCCGTCTTTGTGTTTTGTTGTCGCTTCACAGCTTAAATACGCGCATAAAAATATGTTGCGTTATGTCATTCAACGACTTTTATAAACTGCAGCTCTGTAGGATCGCATGAGATATGTATATACGGCGGGTTAAAATGAATCAATACCGACATAATACATTTTGTCTGAGTGATTGGCTGACATGACAGGGAGAAACTGTGTTTGTTGATTTATTTAAATAACAAAAGTGACAAAAAACCCAAATATGCGGAAGCCGAGCAAATATAATTTACTGACCACACTTACCGATGTTAATAGGGCACAAGTCAGAGACCAATTCTGAAAATCCAATCTGAAAAACCCGTCAATTTAATACCTTTGCATCCATCAACGCTCCAAACTCGTCGACAAATTTTCATTATCAATTCCAAATTCAGCCTCACAGCGAGCAGAAGATGAATATTGACTGGACTGCCGGTTGGTTTTTTTACTTTCTTTGACCTGTTGGGAAACACCTGAATTATTTTCATCATCGCTAAAAGAAGAAGATTACAGACGACAACCAACTGGTTCATCCTTTCCTTGGCAGCCGCCGATCTGGGTGTTACATGCGGACATTTTCCGGCGTCCATGATCTGCAATGTGCTTGTGAATACATGTAACAACGACGTTCGCATAATAACCGCTTTCTTCTTCCTAGAAGCTTCCGTCCTTTGCTGGACAGCCATGATTGGAGAACGCTATATCGCTATCGTGTATTCGTTGAAATACGTCCGTTTAATGACGACCAAAAACACAATTATTATCATCGCGACCTGTTAGGCAATTCCATTTCTTTTACTCGTTTATGAACTCATCATCTATCTTACCAAGGCAAGCGACAAAAAAAGCGCCCCCACCCCCCCCCCCCAGCTCAACGTCTGGAGCTCCGGGGACCCCGGCCCGGCCCCTTCCACCTCTTTTATTTTGGTTTAAAAAAAAGAATCGCAAAAGGAAGAAAAGCCGGCAGGGCAAGCGACAAAAAAAAGCGTCCCCACGCCCCCCTCCCTCTCAGCTCTACGTCGTACGTGGACAGAAAAGAACGGGCTTTGTCCATAGAAGGATGTGTAACTCCCACCCCTAAACCCTCCGATTTGGCCGCCTCCGATGTGATTTGAGCTTCGTTGTGGCTTCTCAGGGTAAAATACGCCACTAATACAGAGATTATCACATGAAAAGTGCGCACGAACGCAAGATTTTATTCACGAGTTGTGATGCATCAAAAAAAAAGACAAAAAAAATGAACGAGTGAGTTTTTTGATGCATTACCAGAAATGAATAAAAATCGTTCGTGCGTGCTTTCCAAGGTATGGTATTTTTATTTCATACATGCTGAGATTTACTCTGTGAAGTACGACGCGAACGACTGTGAAAATACATCGTTCGTCCAATCAGAGTCAAGAAAGATAACATTTTACAGTATAAATCTCAGTATATATGAAATACGATCTGATGTGTTATGGTATGATGTGGTATGATGTGTTTTTATAGTGTTGTGCAAGATTAATTAAAAAATGTAAATATAGTTAAGTTTCAAGGAAATATGGAAATTTTCTTGGCTACACAATCCTTTCTAACTTATTGCTGTTACAAGGGAAGCTGTTGAAGAGAAATTTACTGATGGGATAGATTCCTCTTGTTTGAATTATCTTCCAAAGAGTATGTAAACTACAACTTTTAACTCTGTATCCAGCCGCACGAAGAGTTGCATTAAAAGTGACCGTCTCAGACTCGCTATGTGAAAACCCTATTATCAACATCGCAGTGATTTATTTTTCACTCTGCCTATTTTATTACACATGAAGTCAATTTTATTTTAAAAAGGTCACTTTTCGCCGATGAGTATTTATATTGGCAGCAAGAGCTGAAGCCTTTTCAGCTTCAGCGTTTAAAAAGTACGCGTGGAAAGTTTAGTAAGAGCTCCTTTGTCTTATCAAGCTGTACTAAATTACCAGCTTCGCGCCTTCGTTTCCTTTTAAGTATAAATGAACTTTGGGCTCCAGTGAAGTTTGATATGAATTGATCTTTTATAATAAGGATTCATCTTAGTCACAAATACATATTTTGTTTTGCAAAAGGAGGGATTAAAGCGGAGGCAAATTATTTTCAGTTAAGGTAGGAAGTCTGTGGTCAACAGGAGTCCATTCATAGCAGTTGTATCCCAAAAAGTATAAAATCAGTCTCACTGATTGGCTAAGCGTTTGAAGAGTAAAATACATCAAATCATGTATATTCTTTAGGGCACCAGGGCATGCTAAGTAGATCTAACACGCCACCTGCGCGTAAAAAAGGAAAAGAAAAACATCCTCAGTACGCAATACCTAATAAGGGCACTAACATTTTCCCCTTGCTTTTTATACAGCCTTTCATATCCATGCTTTCACTGAGACCTATTAGTTTGAAGATATCGCTTTTAACATTAATTTAAGCTTAACAAAAAGAAGTCTGCAAGCACGTTCTAACGTTAGGCCGCGACTGGATGGTATCTCGTCAGTGGTTTCGTTGCTTCTGCTGTGGCCCTCATGTCTAAGCACTTATCAGGGCTGTTTCCAGACTGAAGGGTACTGAAGCAAAAAATCCTGGCTAGTGTAGTCATCCATAGCACCAGTATACTTCATTGCTTGGGGAAAACAAGGGTTGTTCTCTATCGCCATGAACTCATTCCCCCCCCCCCCTCTCCGCTTCCCCTTCTTTGGTAGTTAAGTTAAGTCTTGCGGCCATAAAAAAAAAGGATTATTCTCCATTAAAGGTCTAGCGGCTCCCGTCTTTGCGTTTTGTTGTCGCTTTACAGCTTAAATACGCGCATAAAATGTGTTGTGTTATATCATTCAATGACTTTTAGAAGGTGCAGCTCTGTAGGATCGCATGAGATATGTATATATGGCAGGTTAAAATGAATTATTACCGACATAACCCATTTTGTCTAAGTGATAAGCTGACATGACAAGGAGTAACTGTGTTTGTTGATTTATTTAAATAACAAAAGTGACAAAAACACCCGAATATGCAGAAACTGAGCATAAATAAATTACTGAGCACACTTAACGACGTTAACAGGGCACAAGTCAGTAATTGGCCGGTGACTGCCATTTGTTGTCCGGTAAGGATTAAGATGATTTCTCTAAACTCTCCAGCAAGTCGCACTTAGACGTATATTAAACAACTCACCCTTAAGTTACTAACTGAAAAATCCGTCAATTTAATACCTATGCATCCATCAACGCTCCAAGTCGTCCATAAATTTTCAATATCAAATCCAAACTCAGCCTCACAACGAGTAGAAGATGGATATTGACTGGATTGTCGGTTGGTTTTTTACTTTCTTTGGTCTGTTGGGAAACAGCTGGATTATTTTCATCGTCGCTAAAAGAAGAAGATTACAGACGACAACCAACTGGTTCATTCTTTCCTTGGCGGTGGCCGATCTGGGTGTTACATGCGGACATTTTCCGGCGTCCATGATCTGCAATGTGCTTGTGAATACATGTAACAACGACGTTCGCATAATAACCGCTTTCTTCTTCCTAGAAGCTTCCGCCCTTTGCTTGACAGCCATGATTGGAGAACGCTATATCGCTATCGTGTATTCGTTGAAATACGTCCGTTTAATGACGACCAAAAACACAATTATTATCATCGCGACCTGTTGGGCAATTCCATTTCTTTTAATCGTTTATGAACTCATCATCTATCTTACCAGCATCGATTATTACGCTATAGGAACACCTATATTCGTTGCTATTTACACAGCACTCCTCCTAGTTTTACCAACAATACTCTGTTTCGGGGCACATCTTCAAATTCTAGTAATTACTCACAAACGCTCTAGAGAGATGAGAGTTCTTTTCAAACAGGTTAGATTTAACGTAGAGGCAAACTCGGTGAAAATAATGGGATTTAGAAATGTTGGAATAAAAACGTCCACCGTAAGGTTGGTGACTGCACTTGTTATTATATTTATAGCATGTTACGGACTAGAAATCCGTGCGTCAATTTGCACTTACTTCAATCTTTGTAATGTATCTGATCATGAACTAGCAGCAACAAATTTGCTCCTATTGGCCAATTCTACATTAAATCCTCTTGTGTACGCGTTCCTTAAAGAAGATATCAAGAGAGAAACAAAAGCTTTGCTTTGCCGCAGGAGGGAACCAAAACTACGTCCCTTCCAGGTTCATCCATAGTAGCATCGAGCTGGAAGAATTCCTTCCAGCAATGCCGACTAAAAAATAGGAAAAAACTGGGACGCGACTGGAGAATTATTGCAAATAGTCTTAATTCAGTGAAGCAAATAAAGGTTGTTTAATTTGCAAGCAATATCGCTCTTCAGGTAACTTTATTGACGGGTGGTCTGTTGTCATTTATATATTTCATTTATTTTTCATGGCGTCAGGACATGCTACTCAGATCTATTACGCCAACTGCGCATAAAAAAACGAAAATATATTCACCCATGCTACACCTAATAAGAACAGCATTATTTCCCCCTGCTTTTTCGCAGCTTTTCATTTTATGTTTTTAGTAAGACCTGAATACATTTTTGAAGAACACGCCTCTTACACCTGGGCATAACTGTAATACTCTATGAACAGGTTCTGACCGACGTTCAAGCTCGACTAGTTTTTATTTCATGGCTTCACTGCTTCTGCCGTAGCCCCCGTGTCGATGCACCTATCAGAGGCTGTTTGCAAGTATAGATTACTGACACAAAAACTACAGCCAGTCCAGTCATCTATCACGTAAACGTACTACATTATTTGTGGACAACAGGGACATATTTTGCGTTGCTATTAATTAAGCCTACTTTTTCTGAAGTAGAGCTACATTTTGCGACCGGAAACAATCGATTATTTTCCATTAAAGGTTGAGCTGCTCCCAACTTTAACATTCTGGTTTGTGCTTTGTTGCAGCTTCTCAGGCTGAATAACACCAGTAGAAAATGTGTTGTGTACTAGCAGTGATGCTTTGTTATGACGTTACTTACTGTGTTACATAACAAAAAGGACATGTTATAGCGTTCTCTATTATTTTGCAAATTTTAGCCATCAGTTTCCTCACTTATTGTTCTGAAAGGGCGGCTGTGGTGATATGCTTTTATTTTAAAATTTGTATCTAGCTACACGTAAAAAAGTAGCATTTCATTTGCTAGTTCTGGCCAATTCTACGCTAAATCCTCTTGTCTACGCGTTCCTCAAAGCAAATATTAAGAGAGAGTCAAAAACTTTCTTCCTCTGGAGGACTCTAAAACAACATCCCCTTCAAGTTCACTCAAAGTAACAAGCTAAGCTTAGTGAAGTGTTCATTCAAGCAATGCTGATTAGAAATTAGATAATGACTGAACAAAAAACTGGTAGCCTTTGTAAAATAGATTTGAATTTAATCCTAATTGTAGTAAAGCGAAAAGCCACAAAACGATTTCTGTTGTCATTCAGTTGGATAGAGCCTTTTCAAAGTTATCGTAGGCACGGGATCGATGTTCCGATGTAGCCAACGGATAAAGAACCACAGAGCAGCCACAGAATATTGCTTGGTGATGCGTTTCTATTCTACGCGTTTGCTGAGCATTTTGCTGAATAAAAGTTTTGATCAAAGTCTTTGGGATGTGGTCCTTGTACGATGAGAGAGCATCATTTTTGCTAAAAGCTGAACGCATTTGTTGAAATAATGAAACGCACTTCCATTTGCCGTCATGAATTATTCACTGAGTGTCTCCAACTTTAATTGAAGAGAAAGCTTCTCGACAAAAAACAAAAAGCCCATTTTTCGACGTGCATATTCATATTAGACAGCACTGACAGATGCCTTTCTAACTTCTCCGTTCAAAATTCTACCCTAAAAGTTTAGTAACTGCTCAGAATGATCGACAAATTGTCCTAGAATCGAATTTTGGGCTGCATTATAAGTCTTCGTCCAGCACCGGCTAACAATTCCCATTGAGCAAACTTGTGATCTATCAACCTATTTCTGGTCTCATATGCCGGAAAATGCGAGGAAAATTTCAATTAAGTAAAGTATAGGGTTGTCTAATTTGCAAACAATATCGCTATCCTGTTAACACTTCAGCGACTTCCTGACAATTGTCAAGTTCTTGGCATCTAGTAGAGTGATAAATCATTTTAGTCTTCAATATAGACTTCAAAAGCAGTTTTATCAACTTACACACTTTTCCTTCCTTGCCGCCATAGCACTGTTCTTCTTTTTAAAAAAATGGCGTGATATTATACAAAGTTAAGCATTAAGGCAGGGGATCAACTCACAATCCATTAAGAAAAACCAGCAGGTGCATTCTTATTCATATAACAATTTTCTAATTTTATTGTACTAAGGATAAACATGATAAGTACGGACAAATAATTCATGAGAAATTTAAAGCAAATGTCATTGGTAAAGGAACATTTTTATTTTACAGTGTGAGTCAAGGACAGAAAATTGAAAAACTCCCTCAAATGTCCGTAAGTTTGGCATCTCAGTGAACAGCCAGTCTTTTTCAACAATTAATTTTTGAGTCTTTTGAACCCAAAAAACCAAGTTATTTCCTTTTTTTGACCAATGCTAAACAAAAAATTCTAACTTCGGTTCGTCTCTTAATTTCGTTCTGAACATTGATCAAATTTTGATTACAGCGAAATTTGATTCTGAATAATTTTCTATATCTAGGCACCAACCTCAGATGACATCAATATACTTCAAGTTTTGCAGTAGAAAGTTATGCCTATGTACCTAAATATATAGATATAGGTGTTTTAAGAGAAATGTTGCACTCTTTTTTTTAAGCTGTAGTAGCATATATATCGTCTATTTGAGTCCATTCATTATGGTGAGTCGATTACTAATAAAAAAGGTTCATTGATTAGCTTAGCGTTGGCAAACTGCGTATAGGAGTAAAAGTTAATGCGTAATTTTATTTACAAAGTAGATGATATTGAAGGTGGTTACTCCTTACAGCTCAGGACATGCTACGCAGATATACCGCGCCAACTGCTTCATAAAAAAGGAAAACACACTCATTATGACAACACCTAATGAAGGCAGCATTAATTTTTCCCCTTTTCATTGATACTCATTTCTATATCTATGTTTTCACTAAGTACTTTAGTGAAGGAAACGCTTCTTACGCTTACGCTAAAAAATATGTAGCTTATGCGTGAATAGATCTTGTTGTTATGGCACGACTACCCCGTATTAATGTGTCTTCGCGGCTCATGTCACAACCTCCATGCCGAAACACCTATCAGGGCCGGTTTGCAAGCCATAGGGCACAAGAAAAGAGATACCAATGGTTTTTTTCTGCATAGCCATGACATAACCATTATTGGTTTAGTAGAGTTCTGTGACAAAGAAAAACCACCGAGGTGGAGTGACTATTAATGGGTAAGTTAATTATCATTTTGCAAGCTAATATCATCCGTTTCTATACGAGAAGATCTCAAATTGCAAAAACTGTTCAAAAATATATCAGTGATGTCACCAAATGTTATGAACGGCCCTCAGGGAGTGATTGGTTACCAACAGAAAGATCTCTTTTGTTAAATTGTTTCTGGCTGTTATAAACTGTCAATTTGCAAAGTGAAAATCCTTCAATTAATTACTCCTCGTATTGACATGCTTCCGTTGACGTTCCTAGTTACAAATTAATTTTCAGTGTCAGATCCAGATTAAGTCACACAGCCAGTGAAAGATGGTTATTGACTGGTTCTGGATCGTAGGATGGTTTTTCATCTTCTTCGGTCTGGTTGGAAACATCTGGGTCATTTCAATCATTGCCAAAAGGAGAAGATTACAGACAACCACAAATTTGTTCATTCTTTCTTTGGTGGTGGCCGATCTGTGTGTATATCTGTGTGGCGGATAAATGCGATTACGGCGTTCGTATAACATTCGCCTTTTTCTTCAGAGACGTTTCCTCCATGGGCTTAATTGCCATGGTAGCAGAGCGTTACATCGCTATTGCGCATTCGTTGAAATACGTCCGTGTGTTTACCACCACCAGGAGAACATTCATGATCATTGCAATCTGTTGGGTAATTCCATTTCTCTTTAATGCATTTTTTCTCAGCAAAGCTTCGATTGAGAAACGTCTGCATTTTTTTGTCATTTACACAGTGCTCTTTGAACTGTTACCAGCTCTTTAACTCTCAGCTGCACATCTGCATATCGTGGTAATTGCTCGCAAACTCTCCCTCGAAATGAAAGCTCTTTTGAAACAAGTTAAATTCAACATAGCAATAAACTCCATGCAAGTAACTGAAGTTGGAAACGTGGGCCTAAAACTTTCCACAGTGAGGTTGGTAACTAATCTCGTTATCATTTTTATAGCACATTATGGATCTCCACATCTGGATCTGTAGTACCTTTAATCTTTGTAAGGTTTCTGAACGTGAGGTGACAGCAACTAGTTTGCTCTTGTTGGCCAATTCTACGTTAAATCCTTTTGTATACGCGTTCCTCAAAGAAGATGTCAGGAGAGAATCAAAAGCTTTTCTTTGCTGCAAGGGGCACGTAAAACTACGTGTCTTAAAGGTTTATCCAGAATAGAAAGATATGGGCCGATTTCCTTCCAGCAATGCTGACTAAAAAATACTACCGAACTTGTTAGATGTGTTTTAATTTAGCACATTCTTAGGTTGATCAGTGGAGACAGCTATTTGCCGCCGTAATGTGTTGTGAACAAGTTTCGTTTTCTATGGTGTACACTCTGCCTGGAGCACAATTCAGGACGTTTTCCTATGAGTCTCTTGTTGCTGTCGGTGTCAGCTAAAAGGCCTGAAAAAGCCGAAAATGTGATCATTAAAGGCTTAAAGAAAAACGAATGACTTCTAAAATCCTCAGCATGATTGAATCTAACAATGAATAAAGAGCTTGTAAACAACAACATTCTCTGTTGCGAGCCTGTAACCATATATTTCAGCGAATAGATGTCAAAAAGGCATAGAGATTCTTATATCAGAACATAGGTAAAGAGAATTAAATCAAAAATAACTTATAAAAATCTTAAATGCTGTTAAGAAATACAACCATGTAACTGCAGAAATTTAATCCTGTTTTTCTCAACAGTCATAATCCCCTTCTTGGACGGCAAGCACTTATGAAAATTTTGTCTGCACAAATAAGAATCATTTATATCTTGGTCCTGACGAACCATGTGATGTTCATGAGATAGGCATCTTAACGAAGTAATGGACCTCACAGAGAAAAATATAATTCAAATTAAGATTATCAGGAAAATACAAAGTTTATCAAACAATTTGGCTTTAAAGCAAACAAACCGGTGTGGAGGCCTTTATGGGACATCTTTGACAATCCGACGGTCGATTAAGGAAGCGTTTTCCTACCTGGGAATTGTTTTAATGCTGAAGCGAAAAAGTCATGCTGAAGTTTGACCCATTGTTTACCTGACGCAGTTTAGTTATCTTCACAGTTCTGTAACGTCAGTTTACCGTCCACACTCTCTTTCGAATCGTGTTGAGTCATCAGAGTAATGTTTAAGTCTAATTTGGATAGGTTGGCAAAAATAAATGATAATCTTTTATTTTTTCGTAGGCCTGGCTTCCAAGCTTTCTTGTATTCTCTTTTGCCTAAGTTTCTCAAACAATCTTTCCACTGACTGCTCAGCGATTAATTCCAGTCAGTAAGAGGCTATCATAAACTGGCTACTTAGCGCTGATTCAGTATTAGTCTTTCCAGGAGAGGAGGGTGAATGTAAAATGTTTGTGTAGGATGTGCTATACTTCTTTATGCAGATTGGAATTTAAATGACGGCTTCAACCAGCTGACTACAAGAGGCTTCACTTCACAAAGTGCGTAAACTGACAGAGAAGTGTAACACATGCGCCGGCGCATATTCAGACGAGGATGGTATTTCACTGGTTTTTGGATCGTAGATTGGTGCGGAACACTCATTATTTTCATTATTGCGAAGAGAAGAACACAAAAATGTAAGCAACTTAGTATAGAATAAAAAAAATAAGATAATAAAAAATAATAGAAAATGGGCTTGTTCTTTCTTTGACGGACTCCGATGTCAGCATCATGAGCGGATGCTTTCCACGAAGGTTCTGTGATTTTTCACATTTACGTTCTGTCCTACAAAAACGCTTTTGTCCTGTATTTCCTAAATACATATCTTTGCGTTGACTGCCACGATTTTTGCCAACATTCATTCGCTTAATTAACTCCGTGTTATTGAGACAAAGTCAACAATAATCATCATCTCTACGGCTTCTTGGGGGAGAATTCTAAGAATTTTCACTGCGCTTCGTCTTACGTGCAAACAACCCTTCATGGTCAGCCGAAAAAGACTGCAGATATTCTCCGTAGCGGGATTTGCAACCACACCAATCGCAGCTACTCTAAAAAATTTGCTCGTTTCCCGTAAATTTGCAATAGAAATGACAAACTCTTGTCTTGATTTGATGTGGCGGCAAAATTGGTGAAACTAATTTTGTAAACCATCATTAAGGAGGTTTATTCTTCACTTTCTGATTTTCGATGAGTACAGAAGAAGTTAATAATCTACCTTATGAACTTTGCGTCGTTTCCGTAAAATGCCATGACGAACTAATAAACATTGTTAGAATGTAGCCATAACATTTCTTGAAGATAGTGAGGCTGAAAGCGTTGTCATTTATCCGACGCAGGCCAGGAGGAAAAAAAACAATTGCAGTAATTCAACCCAAACTTCCAAAAACAAAATCTGAGACACTGGCAGAGCCGACTCCATCAATTAACTCCGCGAGAATGGTAACTTTATCCGCTTTTGGAACAAAGATGAGGGAGAGGACGTCTTAAAAGATAGTCGCTGCGAAAGGCCTCCTCACCGTTAGTCTTTGAAAGCAACTAGGTTTTTGGTACTTTGAGTGATTAAGGAAAGGATGTTGAACTTACTAAGTTGAGCAAGAGGCATCCTGCGTGTGCACTACAAAGTTTTTTTTTCTTGAACTGAGCGAGCTTGTCGTGCTCATACAATTCAGAGAAATGACTGAAGAAACAACGAGCAACTTAGTCTGACTCAAAGTTGGCGGTTATCGTCAATTTAACATAAGCACTCAGGCCTATACTGCTATGGCATATAAATGTGAAATTAAGGTGCAAGGCTGTAAAAGCAGACCTGTTGGAATAAGCCTGATGATCGTGGACACGCGTAGTTTTCGTACGCCGCCAATATTGTGTTACAGGTGTGTTGGAAATGAAAAGCAAAGCTAAAAGTCAAACCAAATAATTTAAAGGACAAAAGATGCTGATTTGTGATAACATAAATTATAGCCCTGCCGGTATTAGAAGATAAGACTAGAAGAAATATTATGGCAGATATTTTGACGGTCACACGAGTAACTACAACACTGAAATTTAGCCAACATTCTATTATTCACGAAAACATTGCCACTAAGTGTCATTTTTTTAAGTTCACCACACCGGCATGAAGCTGTTAAGTTGTATTTTTTTAAAAGAAGACAGACATAAGTGGAATCTGAATATTTCTGAAAGATGGTTTTCCCTTTATTGTTTGTCTTTGGCTCTGAAAAAAAAACAAACCACGCAAGATTATCAGTTAGTTGAGTCTCCTTCGAACAGGTTAATTTCACTTCATTAATAAAAATTTTATCAGGAATAAAATCATCCCTGATAGTAGATCTAGGAAAATTGATTAATTTTAGGTCATTAGGCGCTAAATTTGGCATGACTCATACAGAAATAGACTGAAATAAAGGATAGCCACTACAATGGCGAAATACACGGCGCGATTTCGAAGGTTCAAAGACAGATTTTTATTGAAGTTTTGAATCTCCAAGAATAGCTTATTTTCCTATCTCAAGAGCCAATAAAAGACACAATCAATTACCGAGGTGCTATTATCTCCTACGCTGTCCTTATGATAAAACATATGTCATAAATATATCGGAAATTAGGTAGACGCACATACACGACCTGGTACAAATATATAAGTTTATTTTGGAACCAAATACGTTCAGTCTCTTTTCGGTCCGGTTTTTAAGATTATGTATGCAACTTCACGGTTTTAATTGTCATCACTCCATGTTTTTTCATTATGGCACAGGTAGTGCATGCACGACGTAGAGTTTACTTAGGTGGTATGAATAATATATCGCTCCATGCTAATTCGCGCTTGATTTATAATAATAATTACCATACATCTTTGCCATAAGATTTCCAAGTGAAAATTTCTTTTACGGCTTGTCGTACTGTAAACCTGTAAGATTAGTACTATTGAGATTTACTTCTGAAATGGTATTTTTGCTTCCTTCAGAGGAAATGCATATGAGTCATGTTTGCGTAAAATGGAAGACCAAGTCACCTGTCTTGCCTAATAAGCTTTTATTGGCGCAAATGTTTCTTGGCAACTGTGACAGCTAAGCTGAAAAATAAAACACAACCGACCGTGTGATCGGCTTTGCAAGGATCAGCTTGAATAATTCGTTTAAAGCAAGCCTAAATCTCGAAGATTATGCACTAGAAGAAAATCATCTACTTGTTTCGAATTATTTCTACACAGTGCCGACCGTCTTCGTTTCTCCCTCAACGAAGTATACGGAACATCCATAGAAGCTTTTGGAAGTTCCTCTCTTGCGTTTTCAAGCGAGTCGATTAAAATTTGAATTTGTGGCATTCCTTGCAGAGAGTATGCAGTTTCTTCGCTTTGGTCTCGCTTCTTGTTTGAAGCGGTTTTTTCCTTAGATTCATAAATACTTATTGATGGCGGCGAATTTGATCGCTGCTCATTCAAAACATGTGTATCTTGCTCAAATGACATAGATGAATTGACATTCAAGTCTATTTCGCATCGACTTACAGGTCGTCTGCCATTTGCAAGTGTTGCAACCGATAAACCTATTCTTTCTGATTGTCTTGTGGCTGTAGTAGAGCCTTTTCTTCTTTCGGATTGAATTCTGTTATTATTCTTTTCGTAGGCATGATGTTCGCTTTGTAAATGTAAGCTGTTTGAATTCAATCTCTTTTGAATTTTACCCGAAAATTCCTCACTTCTGATACACGTGTGTTGTACGACGTCAGCTCTTGATTGCGAGTCAATAGGATATTGCCCACCTTCTGTTTTTGAACGCTGCCTTATTAGAAGTGCATTGCAGCCTTTACAACTGGATTTGTAACTATCAGATCCCACAGGGCTACTGAAAGATCGTTGAGGGATTCGCGGTTTAGATCGAAGCTGATCTTTCCCCAGAGTTTCGCGTTTTTCAGCTAAGCAAGGCCTACCAACCACTTGTAAATGCTTATCATATTCACCGCTCGAGTCCTTTCTTTGCTGAGCTACGAAACTGGAGAAGTCTACGTTTTTATGCGATTTCCCCTCACTGCTTTTCCTGCTTGTATCGCGACTAGCAGCTGACCCGTTCGACGACGCAAATGAAAATCTACGCGCGTTGCTCAATCTTCTCCCGTGTCGTGCGTTATCCTGTATCGGTGGTAAAACAGAAAAACGCGTGAAAGTACCCATATTGTAGTTGAGATTTAACAGAGGAATTTTCTCCTCAGTTTCAGATTCACCATTGCTCTTTTCTAGCTCGTCATCGGAAAAAACGGTCTTCATGTTTGGGTTTTCGTCGCCTAACGGCCTGTCTTCTGTAAGCTTTGCATATTCAATTTTCGGTAAAAACAGTTTGTTTCCTTTGGGTATTTGCGACCTGGTGTTCATGGCGATAAAACTGTGGTCTTTTTGAATCTGTAAGTTCAATACTATTTGAGTTTCATGACGAACCACAAAAGGATTTTTGCCACTTTCCTTCCAACCTCATTTTACGTGTTTATAATTCCCCCGATGCACCATCTGTTTTGTAACATTATGTTGATCAAGTAGATCACGTGGCACTCTTTTAATGAGCAGTTGTGAACAAGACGCCACAAACATAAATGAATTCGGCATTCGCATAGAAGTTAAATACGCATAAAGAGAGCTTCTTCCCTATTCGTCAAAATAATCTATAACAAATATTTCAGTTCACTATTCAAGTTTGCACGCAAACTCTCGTCTTAAATTGAAACGAGAGTGAAGTTGCATCTCGTTTTGATCGAAGTTTCCCCGAGACGTTTTTGAATAATTTTACACAATTCTAGTGTGTTTCGTCCCATTTTTTCAAAATTAAATTTAAACGAGGATTACTTACCGAAAACCCGATTAATTAATTCATTTTAAAATTTTAATAGTATGAATAAGCATTGGCTGACCATTCGAGTTTGGATTTTGGAAATACACATCAAACGATCATATGAACCAAAATCAGTGATAAGTGATTAAAATAGGAATTTTTTTAGTATTGAAAAATTTTTGGGAGATGCATGACATTGTTTTTAAAGTAATGGTGAAGTCAAATATGGTATTCTGAAGCTTAAAGTAATTATAAGTTGTGCTAAATGTATTTATACGTGGATCGACAGCTCTGCCTTTTGTCAGTAAACTGCTGAACCACGTTTTTGTAACTGATGATTTTGACTGTCTATATTGACCGGTAATTATTTAGTTAATGAAGTGCGCTAAATCAAGTATTTTATCATTATCATTATGCCGCTTTTTTTTCTTTGAAAAAAAAGAAAAAAAATCGTATCATCCCCTGAAGCTATTATCTACAAGATAATATCTTATATTACCAGCGGCGGGTCCAGAAGTTGAGCTGAGGGGGTCCCCGGTTTTTTTTCGCTTTCCCTGCCGGCTTTTGTTCCTTTTCTTCCTTGATGTATTCAATAGTGCTTCCATGTTCAAAGATGGTTTTTCTTCTCAGATTAGTTACGGCTAATGGTTGTCATGCAATTAATATATTGAGAAACGATAACAAAAAAATCACTTTATAAGGTTAATTTCACCTTCATAAATCTAAGCGTTTCTTTTTTAAAGCAGCATTTAAAACTGTCATTCCGTTCACCACGGGGCCAAAGAAGCTAAGAACATCCCCATTATGTTGGGACACCTCACACAATACGAAGTATGCTGTCAAGCGGGTCTCAATGGGGTGATGGTTTTTACGGCTAACAGTTAACACTATTCCATTGTTGTCACCAGTAACTTCCCTTACGGTTAACTTCTTTTACGACCGTCGGTTAAAATTTGTCAATTTGTACGCCTAGAGGCTAAATTTTTTTGTTCGTTTTACAGCTATCGGTTTACCCCATTAAGACCCCCTGTTAGGCCTAAAATTAAACCATTCTATAGTGTATGATACTGATTTTTACGTGTTTACGAATATCTCTCAATGTTTTCCACTGAAAAGTAACAGAAAAGTCAAAAACTGTCTATAATTTATAATCCATTTCTTAGCCAAAAATATTACAAGTAAGTGTAAATAAAATTTGCCAAATTGATTTTGCTCTACCTGAAAGGCAATATAAAATTTAATCTAAATATATATATATATATAAATATATTCTCTTTAATCCACGTTCTGATTATGCAAATCAAACTCATTTATTAGTTGTTATGATAGTTCATAACAGACTAACGATTTAACAACAACAGTAATAATTTATTACTCTTTTAATGAAAGCTCTCCCGCTGACTAGGAAAAGAGTTTGATTGACGATAGTCGATATTGAAAAAGATTTCGTGATATTTAATTTTTTTTTGGATTTCAAAAAAAAAAAAGCTTGCGGATGAACTTAACATATTTGTTAAAAATTAAATTGTTCTGCCATTAAAGCTAAAAAAAATAAAAAATAATTCCTGTTGTTGTTGCTTTTTTTTTGTTTGCTTATTTCAATTTCGCCATCTCTTCGGTCACATGAAAGTATGGACCGCCTTTTAACTTGGAAGAAGAAAATAGCAGACAATAAAAGGTATGACAAATGAAATTTTCCACCCTTTTAATGCGAGACAAACCCAAAATAGTTCTGGTTTTTTTTTTTTTTGGTTTCAATTTTGCTATCACTTTGGTCGCATGAAAGCATGGATCATTTTTCAACTTGGAAGCAAAATATGGCAGGTGGCCACTTAACCCTAAATTGAAGGCGTGTTCGCTTCCTGTAATTGAATTCTTGCCAGTTTAGATAAATAATTTCATTCAAGCGGTTCTTTTTAAAATAGGAATGCATCATGAAAAAAGCAGGATCGATTAGACTGTCGAAAACGTAAATGTTCACTTTGCAAAGTGCATCATTCGATTACAAAATAGGATTGTATCAGAATATTCCTACGTTATACATACAAACAGGTGCAATAAGTTTATTCAGTAACCTCACAAAGTCTCCTGTAATGGTCTATAATGAAATACAACCGTGGGATATTTTGCGTCGCTTGCAAGCGTGAGAAAAATTAACTAAAAATTGTAGTCGAGAAAGGTCACTTTAAACCGCATATTAATTGGTACAGCTGGATCAAAAATGGAATCAAAAAAGGGCATACGGAACTCACATGGATTGGGCAGGAAAGGAAATCTACCTCTAAAGCCATTTCATAAAGACCAATTTTCACTTCAACTGTCTAATACCGTAGTAAATATGCAGGAGATATCATCCTTCCGCCTAATCAAATTAAAAATACCTCTCCAGCTGATAAGCACGAGTGATTAAATAGCCAAACCATCCACAAATCTTGTGTAAATGATAAGAGATAATATTAATGGTAAATGAGCTGAAAACGCCGCAGGTTTGAAATACGATTGATAATCCGTTTTAGGCCATTAATGCATTGATATACACTTTGCTTCGGGACAATTTTAAGTGTGAATTGTTAAGTAAATAAATAAATCCTTAGTTTCTGGAGGCAAGCTTGGAAGTTTTTTGGACGCTTTTTGAACGCCGTAACGTCTTCACCTGTCACGTGTTCAAACATAGGCACCATCTTAACCCAATGGAAATTACAAAGTGGCCATGGAAACTTTGTAATTTTATTTTGCGCCAAAATTAAAGAGTAATTGCCAACAATGATATCACGAGAAAGAGTGAAGAAGAGTGAAATCGCTCATGATGTGATTACTGAGTAGAATCCGCTCCTAGCAGTTCTCAGAGATCCTGAATGTGATCTGCTATCCTTTCCGAAACGAAACACGGCTCTTGTCTCGTTCTTGATATCCTGTTTTAGGAATGCGTATACAATCGGATTAAGAACTGAGTTAACCATAATTAGCAGAGAAAAGAATGTTTGGACATCGTCAGGGACTGCACAAAGGTTATACGGGGCTTGACAGAATGTGACGTAGATTTCTGTCCCGTAGCATACTACGAATATAGCAACAACTGCAACCACTAATTTTACCGTTGACGATTTCAACCCAATTTTAACTGGTGCGTTCAGTATTCTTGCAGAGTTTGCCGCCACGTTAAATCTAACCTGAGTCAACAGAACTGACATCTGCTTCGAAACTCTTCGGGCGATGAACAAGATATGCGAGGTTGTTACGATAAGGATTATCGTTGGCACAATTTCAAACAACAGCGTATACATGGTGATTATTACGAACTCTGCCTGGGCAGAAATCTCATTGTAATACAGTTCGTATGCCCATCTAGCGAAGATGAGAACACTCGGAACTCCCCAAGATGCCACAATGATAGTGATTGTTTTTGCAGTGGTCATAACGTATACGTATCTTAATGAATAAACGATGGCGATATAACGTTCCACAATCATCGCAATCATCGAGAAGGTGGAGGCTTCGATGAAAAAGCTGTAGAAATTAAAGCGAATGCTGTTGTTACATGAGTGAACGAGTATGTTGCAAACAAAAGATGCTGGGAAATATCCACAAGTGACGCCCAGATCGGCGATTGCCAAAGAAAGAACAAACCAGTTGGCTGTTGTTTGTAATCTTCTTCTTTTCACGATGATGAAAATAATCCAGGTGTTTCCCAGGAAACCGAAAAGAGTTATAAACCAACCAACGACCCAAAACCAGTGAAGAGCCATCCTTATTTTGACATCAAAGGTTTGATTCCTGAGACGATTTTATCACAATGCCTCAGAAATGAATAAATACCTACGTTTTCCCTTAAAATTATTACACCTCTGGGTAAAAATTGTCATAAAATGTGAAGATCGTATTTTTCTTTCTCCGTTTCTAAACGGTAGCTTATCACGACGTTATTACCTAAGAAAGTTTCTTTCAATTTCACTGAGAAACCTGCTGAAAGCTTACAAATAATTATGATCAAATTGAGCATAAATTTTAATTGTTAATTCCCGCCTTTTCAATGAACCATACCTCCCCGCATTTCACGAAGGCTGGAACAGTTGTTCAGCTGAAAACAATTGAAAAGGAAATGATTTTCTTCAAATAATCTCCTCCTTTGCGTGGATGTGAAAAGTGTTATTTGACAAATGACACTATTTGTTAAATAAAAATGCACAAGTCAAATCTCGTTTCATCCCGAAACATTTGTTAGACCCTAACAGAACGTTGCTGGACAACAGGGAATTCATTTTGCATGATATTTTGAGAAGAAGCAGCATACAGGGAGATGTTCTATTTTGTTCTCTTTACACACACAAAAAAAACCCTTGCTTCTAAGTGGCATGAAACAATTAACTGTGCTAAGGTCCGAAATTTGCATTAACTTAGGATAATCAAACAAACCTACAGGTAGAACAAAGGTAGACAACTACAAAAGACGAAAATTATTTACACAAAAATATAAAAAAAAAAGCGTTGAAGCGGTTATACATGCCATTTGAAACGCTAGTTAGTTAAAAATAGTTACAACGATTGCAAAACCATGATAACAAAACTGTACAACATTCTAGTAATAAATGAACTGACTTAAATTAAATCTTAGTCTGTTATTATAATTTTAAGTTACCAGAAATTACATTGGAAAGTTATTATACAGGACTACATAAGGCAGCTTTATCTTCTATCTTTCGAAAAAAAACAACAACGAGAAGGAAAAAAAAAAGGAGATCTCTATCCTTGACCACTTCGAGAATTTTTCAGCCAATTTCAACCATGAGCGATACTCATTTGCATTTAGCTATAATATGATATTGAAAGACGCTGACACCCTACACACCCGCGCAGTTTATCAGAGAGTTGAAACAAGCGTGAAGAACAGATATATTCATTTAGTTCGTCTTGGTCGTAAAAGATGTCAATTTTCGCTATTTAACCCCACACTCAAAACGGCAATACCTCAACCGGTAGCCTCGAGGTAAATGAAGAAATTTACTTTTGAATTTTTATCTTCTCACTAGAATGAATAGAGCTGATATCTTGAAGACGGGGAGTTGGCGTGTAATCGATAGGATACGCAGATTCGCTCCGACAAGCAAGTTTTAAAGGATCGATGTGCAAGCGATGAAAGTTTAGAAATGGTGTGGAGAAAAGAGGAAAACATCTTAAGCCACAATGACAAATGACGAATCAAAACCCAGCCGAGCAATTACCGACCGCATACTCTACTGCTAAACTAAAGCGAAGTCCTCGGCGAGCGACGAGGCTATATTATGCTTAGTTCTCAAGGGTCCTAACGTGTACTAAGATCGACATTCAGTGCTTCCAATCTCGATAGGAGTCAGCTCCATCAAAAAAGAAAGCTATTAAATCCTTTTCGAGGAAGAGTGTGCACTCTTCTCCTATTGAAGCATTTTACTGTAATTTTCTACCGCACACTGAGAAGCAACTGTAGGGTTTAGGTCAAACTCCACCTCCTGTGTTCTGAGGGTGAAAAGTCAACAGAAAGGAGAGAATTGGAGAAGAGGCCTGGAACTAGAGTAATCCAATATGGCGGAGTACTTTGGCTATCACCTGTGAAATTCAGGTTCATAGTTCCAGATTATTCTAGGAATAGAAAATATGACTGATATACACAATCAAGAAATTACTGGAAAAGAGACGGATTCAACGACAACATGGATTTTGCTGCAGATAGCTGATTCAGGTATGAGTATATCAGCGAGTACGTAACTTGTAATTGGAAAGCTGATGTAAATTACGTGCAGGCTTAAAAGCGGTGTAATTTGTTTAACGAAAAAAAAAACATTATTAGTATTATTCATTACAAGTTATTTTCAGAAAAATAGTGAAACAATACTCCTTTCAAAGCGAGAATTCAATGATATTTTCAAGATTATGTCGGTAAACAGCTGAATAGACGTCAAGTGTTCCACGTTGAAGGCTATAAAAAGTAACATTTTAAAGCTAAGATGAACATATTACCTTGCCTCAATACCTTTCTTTGATAACGAGGTGAAATTTTTGACGGGATATGAAATGTTTGACGTTTTTTCAAATGATTTTCGACTAATTTTTAGACAAAGCAGGTTAGTAACAAGTACACCATGTTCACGGGTTTTGTTGCAGCAGCAGCAGCGGCAACCGCGTTTTCTGGCGCGTAATTTAGGCGGGAATTTTCAGGCAGATGTGAACCAACTAGATTCAATTATTTCAGTAAACAGTACTTTAAAACCAGCTTATGGTCTCGCAAATTCCAGAACAGCAGAGGAAATTTAAAACAAAAACTTATGAAACATTGTAATCAAGCAGACAAGTAAGGAGAATAAAGAAAAATATCAGTTAGGGGATTGTAAGTTGATTCAACACCAAATTCTCCAAACTAACATCACAAGAACTGTATGGTAGACATTAAGGAGAATTACTTATGAGATCTTGGGAGTTAGATGGTTAATGAAAGACTGAAACTAATTGCCTTACAGTCTTACAGTTTTAGAGCATTAACACATTTCTTTGAGGCAATTATGTTTGAAAGAAGACAATTGTAAAATTGATAATAATCATTATAAAAACATCTCTAAAGAAGGTTTAAAAATATCCAACTTTATTCAAATGATGACTGGTTGACATATGGCTGAAGTAACAGTTACAGTAACAGTAACAGTAACAGTAACACAAAACTTCTGGTGAGCAGAAAATATATATCAAAATTATCTTCTCTAGAATTATATCAGTTTCATCTTTTGATTGGCAGCATTTCCTACTGGAGGATTCTCACATAGTTTTGGATTTGAATCTGCAACAAAACATGGCTTTGTAACAGAGTATAGTAAGTATGAAACAGAATGCAGTGTTCAGTGAATTGTAATATTGGAGTACACAATGTAAATATATGTTAGCAACTTCAAAATTTATGTTTGATAGTAAAGAGTAGGTTTTTGTTGCTATTGCCATGTTAATTTTTTTTGTTCTTTCTTTTTAGGTGCATTCAAAGCTTTTTTGTTCTCTTGCCTTCAAAACACAGGTAATACTCGGTGAAAGCTACCATTAATGAATCAAAGGGAATAATTCAATCATTTTAAAAAAGGAAACAGTTCTTTGCACTTACACATATTACCTATTTTGGCAAGTTGTCTTAAATGAAACATTAATCCAAAATTTCTATAAAATGTTTTCATGTGCTGTCTACTGGTGATGCAATGTTATAGTATGGGCTGTGATCACATACCTCCTCCCTTGTTTGGGAGAGCACATTTTTTTTTGTGACCACTTAAATCCTATGGAAATTCAGGTTGTCAGTTCACTATTTCTGATTTTTCTTCAGTTAAACCTAGTTTAGCTATAAATATTTTGTTGGTGTGAATAGGTAGGGTATCAGACCAATAGAAGAAGTTTTATGGTTAATACTCATTTTCATTCTTTTCAGCTGTGCTTTTAACTACTAGTAAGGCAGAGGCCATGTAAAGCAAACACTCCTTTCTCTCTCCTCACCACAAAAAGCCATTGATTTGCCTTTTCTCACAGCCCCAATGTTTTGTCCTCTACATGTAAAGCTATAGTTGATCTAGAGAGCTAACTGAAGTCCTTCATTTCAAATCTTTAGCATCATTCAGTCTCTCTTTTGTCAATGAATCACACAAGAATTGCCATGATGTTGAGAGGATCAAAGAGTTGGATGGAATGGTTCAAGCTTACCTCAGTAACCATGTAGCAAACAGAGCAAGCATCAGGCAGGTCAGTTATACATTATCTATAATAAATCTATTATACATTATTGATCAACAATAAAGCTCGCTACATATCTTTATTTTGAGGTGAATAAGTTGTTGATTCTGTATAATTTTTCTTTATTTTATCAACTAAAAAAACTGGCATTTGAATAGTAAAACTTGTTTAGCATAAGAACATGCATTTTTACCCCCAGTACTTATCTGCATATGTGTAATTAACCATTTCTTCCCAGTGGTGATTAACCTGTTACTTCTCTCTATAATATCCATACATTATCCAGCAAACAAATAATGAGAATACTCAAACTAATCAGGTAGTTGTTATCTTGATTTAACTCCAAATTCTCATGAATAATTTACAAGAAAATGTGTAGCTCGTAGAGGGGAGAGTTAGCAATAGATCTTAGGGGTCAAAGGGTTACTAGTGTTTAGGAGAATAAAGCTATCCATCAAGCATCTCCTGCTCCTCTTACTTAAGGCATAATTTCTTAGACCACTAACCCATGTAAGAAAATTTGAGAACTTCAATTATCTATTTGTTAAGTACTATGTAGCTTACAAGTCTCAACTGCTTGTTTCTAAGATTTTCTTTTTTATAATTTCTTTTTTATCAGAAAAGCTATTACTGGTCATTAGAAGTCCCAAATTATTAGGCCATTTTAAGTCTCTCAGATTGAAACTTCTAAAAGGACATTGTGATGTGTCACCGCATTACAAGTATCTAAAGCTTTTGCGGTACCATTGTTTATCAGGGAAACTCCTTACTTGACACAGCTTGCAAAACATTTGGAAAACAAGAAATGAAAAACTTACAGGTATGTTCTAAATGACAAATGTTTGTAGTTACAAAAATACAACTTACATTTCTGCATGGCACTGAGGTAGTATGTGTCTCTGGCAATGTTTTTTTCCTTTCTTGAGCCCATTATTTATGTTTTAAAAGAGAAAGAAAAGTAACAAGGTAAAGAACATGATAGCACCTCACTATTCCGCCTTGAAAGACAACACCCCTACTTAACAGGAATTTTATGAAGACAAGTTATCAACCTTTCACGTGTCTGCAACAAGGATGAAAATCACGAAGAGAAGAACGTGGTAAGGTAATCAAGAGGTGAAAGTGCCCTGTCAGTAGTACTGATAGTCGACAGTAAAAACATCTGTAGTTTTGGGGAAAATTTCTGGTATAAATTTCAATGATAAAATTTCCGTCTCATTTCACGGTTCATGAAAGGTGGAATCCTACTTCCTAACCCTCTCCCTCTTGTCCACTCCTCCTCGTAACTTCCGTCCGACCCTCTTCAGCGCTGGGAAGCACCGAGATAAGCTGCGGCTAGGTGGTCTAATACGCTGCAGAACAGGCCTTACCTATAACTGCTTTATTTCAGGTCCAACTCGAGAACAAATCCCTCTTTGGTCACTTTGCCGTTGTGTTTGGCTTCATGTGCGGCATGTTAAACCTCTCTGTGGTCCAAACACAACAACTTTTCCTTTTCTCGACTCTCCGAACGGTAATTGCCAGTGCTGTGAGACTTGGTAATATTGGACCGTTACAGGTACGTGTAGAACGTCAGGTTTTGGGGGGCTACGAATAACAATACAAGATAAATATATGACAATAGGTGATATATACATTTGTCGCGCTCGTTCTTTTCATCCCACTTTCATATAGTCGTCCTTTACAACCGTTTTTCCCTTTTTTTGTACGGGGAGGATGTCAATCATGATTTTCCCTTTTCGTTAGTGGAGGGGTGGGAATCGTTGTGTGAAATTTTCCCCCCCTTCCAAAAAAGAAAAAGTTTCGACAAAGACTTCACATTGAAGAAAACCTGTGCAGTTAAGGACAAAGTCAATCTGAGACGGATTCTGGAAAATCCTACGTGCGCTGAAATCTGGATGCAGAAGTTACACATGAATATGGCTTTGCATAGTCTGTGTTGGCGTCTTATCATACGTTCTGAATCCCAGGGGTGCTAACAGAAAGGATGCCACGACTACAGCTTATCTTAGTTATGGGAAGGAATGTCCAAGGAATACGTAACGTGTCTTACAATTACATGTTTTGAATTCTGACGAGAAGGCCATAGACAACCGGCTGTTTCATGACTCCTCAATGATAATCCCTTGAGGATTCAAACACTGGCACGGAATGCCCGTATAAGAAGTGAGCATAAAAACTCAAGGTCTCTTGTGTACGGTTATTGTTGTAGTTGCAGCTCCGCTAATTAATGCGGTACTATATTTTGATTCATGAACTTTAGGCTCAATCCATCCAATTTGAAATGCAGAAGACAGCAGAAGAAATAAGGAAAAAGTGAGTATCGTGAGCGGAATACTGGTCTGAACACCAAACTGGTGGACGCAACACAGCCTTTGTTTTACTTAGGTTTTTGGACTTATGTTTGTGAATGGATTTTCGACTTAAGAGTTACCTTTATTTGGATTTTTACTGTGTTTGACGCCTTTCGCAGCAGTGTCTATTGTTGTAGAACGAGATCAACTACCACAACAGGTGTTCAAACTAGACGAAAACCAGGTCATCTGACCATTAGCCCACTTATTTACCTGAACTGTTGTTTTTATACATTCCTAGGTTCGAAATGACCACCGTGGAGGAAGCAACAACAACAGCCCCCGTTGCTGACTTTCTTCAGGGTGCTCACGACAACCTGTTTTCAAAACTTTTCTACTCGTGAAAAGAGGCATGGAAATGTCGTTAATTCCGAATGACTGGTCGTCAATGTAGCGCCTCTAAATGAAACAGGTCGAGGTAAAAGAACTGCAAGTTATGTGAAGTTTTCGTGGTGAATAACCAGAGATCTCTACACGTTTTGTAGGGGCTGTGATCGAAGCAATAACGTGTCTCGAGCGCCGGAAAGCTATAGCACGCGAGGGCTACAATGCGGTCAACAAGGCAGTGATCCATTTGGGTAGTCCACATAAATGTAATAAAAACATGGAAAACTGTGTATGACTTGCATCAAATACCAAACTTGACTCTAATGACCCTGATGGTGACTTTCGCTCAGGTTGATGAAGCGTCAGTGACTAATATCGACAGCAGTCAGAATACACGATTATGCCGAACTTTATTAAATCTCAACTCTGGAAATTAATCTTTACAAAAATTTACAAATATTTAAATCCGATTGCGCGAAAAAGCTATTCGTTAAACTATGTTCATAAGTCTTAGTCCATCTTCTATAATTTTTTTTTATATCACAAAGTGCTCAAAGTTTTCGTTTGTGAAGTCGCTTTCGTCAAAAGACAATGAAGACATGGAATAAGTCAGAAGTGGCCTTCCCGAGTTATCTGACGCTGCCCTTTTTCGGAGACCCGGAGAGGCTTCGTCTCTGTAATACGTCTCCGAAGACTTTTCGGGAATCCGATAAAATGGACTGATTGGTGAACTCGGAGAGGTGTCGGGAAGACTGATCTTTCGATCGATTGGAGACACTGGAGGCGGGCAATTCCTGATTGAGTTGAGAACACCTCGGAGTTGTACAAACTGCTTCATAAGGTTCTGGTCTTGCTGCTTGAGAAATTTCTGTTGGATGAAAAATTAAGTTAGAGAAAAGTGGATGCTTGCTTTCTTGACAGTTGAAATTTGAACATGTGTATTCCTAGAAGTTACGGGAAATTTTTTATATCTTAGCTCAAACGAATGAGATGTTAGAGATAGAAGCGTTGATGGAGCTAAGATTCTCAGAGCAGAAATTAGAGAAAAATGCATATAAGTTGTTTCCCGTTGCCTACAAGCAGACGCTACAGGACACGCGTTTCTCCACCCGCGGAAGGACTCGAGACGAGTCGAGAGAGTTCTACTCTTTGCAGCGCATAGCTTAAGGCTCGTACTTTTCGTCGGGCGAAGGCACACTCGTGCTGAAGCGGTTCCTGATCCTCTTCGCGGGCTGTGTTTTCTAGAACAGATACAAGACATATCTTTCTCCCCATGGGTTTTGTTTATTTGTCTCAATCATTTTTTTTTCTCAGTGGGCAATCACCCCGCCCGCAACAATTCAATCGTCACCGCCATCACAGTTTGTCAAGAATTTCAAGGAGCGTAGCATTTTTTAACGTTCAAGTACATAACACTTCCAAGCTACTATCCACTGAAATTGAAGATGGACAACAAGGTAACCCCTTACTTCAAATTCATCTATTTCCTCAATATCCTGCTGTGCGAAGATCTAATGTTTAGTTTTCAAAATCTTGAAAATACAAAAGCTTGTCTGATATTTTCAAGAGATAAGAGAAACGTTTCTGCTCCGCCCAAGTGACACGCGCAATCATAGACTTCAGTAACACAAACACCACAGGAATTTTTCGAGCAGAATCGATTGATGCAGGGTTTATTCCTAAACGCACGTGTCTCCATTGAAAGGTCATTTATTTGGGGCACGGTGGCGGGGAATAATTTAGGCTATTATTATTGTGGACAGATAACATCAGTGGAAAAATATTGTTCCTGTGAATGAAAACAATTACAGTCGGGAGGAAAGTTATCAAAGCTTAATTGCATGTATATGAATCATGGGTAGAAAAACATTTGCGCCTTAGTAACCAAGATGTCTTTTACGATATTACGTGTAAATCCCAATACCGAAGGGGCGTTAATCTCAAGTACAGCTAAATGAATTTAATATATTGAGAGACCTTAATTTATAATCTCCGCGATTAGCCATAATTTTTCTTTATAGCACGTATCTAGATTATCTTCGAGTATGACATTAAAATTAAATAACTTGTTAAGCGCTTACGATTTCTTTCACAATCCATTTGATTGCCGCGTCTAGGTCTGTTTTGCGTTCGTGAAACGTCTTCAACTTTCGCTCTTCTTCATTCAAACAAAATGCGGGTCTTTCCGACTCCATAATCTCATCAACAGAGCTGATCATAACGCTCGGCTGAGTTTCTGAGTCCTCCTCCTCGCTCGTACTCTCCGTAGATTGCTGTTCTGTCATGAGGAAAGACATAATTTTGTACGTTTAGGATTAGAGGTAAGCCCTGGTGCAACATACACCGAGCTATGAAAATTCCTGTGTTGACTAGATCGCACTAAGTGATAATTACCGAAGCGGTAAGTCTGTCCTTTCTAATTCTTTGTGCAAATAAATGATGAGTTTGACAAATGATGACCCTAGGGTTCTAATCAAAATGACATATCAGTGTTGACTGAAGAAGTACTCTTGCCTATGAGTCAGCTTCGTGTTTCGACGTAATTGCTCTCTTGTTACAAGTTATGACGATTTTTATTATTGTGTCAAAACTTTTCTGCAAAGTAACCGGATTTAGCTGACGTTTATTCTGGGCACATTAATTCAAATTTGACGTAATTTAGGTACATCAGGCGTGACAGCGAGATCCGGCAATAGACACAAGCAATGTTTGTATTGACAAAAAAACTACAATGATGTTTCAAATTGTGTTGTGTATCAAACCTTATCTCTCCGACTGATCGCCGTAATCTGACCACAGCCAGTAAAAATAGATCGATAACTTTACGTTCCTCTATCTCCAAGATTTGATCAATATGCAGCCTCTCCTTACAATTCCAGTATATCTTGAAATAAGCAGTTGATAAGAAAAGACGAACCTATCAGGCTATAAACGCTATCTTTACGACCAAAATTTCATCGTAGATTTACAATCCAACGTATCGCAGCTTCAAGAGAAAAATAATACAATGATTTTTAGAGTTAATCGGCTAAGATTCTGTTGCGTTATTCAAGTCGTGTGCTTTGTCATAGCTACGTGGTCTATTCTTAGTCCCCCCGGACCTCACATCGTTTTTTTCGGAACAGTGTTACGCACGGGTCGTAGTAGCCGGGGGGGGGGGAAGGTCCTGAATACCCCCTGCCTTGCTGGTGAGAAGAATTTTTAATAAAAAAACGAACAAACCTTGAAATTCAGGAGGCGAAAACGCGCGTGAACCGAGGAATCAACACGCATGCATAGCAGAGGGATCCCATCACTAACAACTCATTTATTCTTATTCTTCAAAATCTTGCTAGGGGTAAAACACAGCGTTAATGTCGCGAAGACAGTCGAAAAGGTACCCTTGATAAATCCCAGTGTGACTCCACTCCAACCCCCCTTTTTCAAAAAATCCTTGCTACTTCCCTGGACATCTCTTTAAAAAGCCCTACTTTGAATTGAAAGAAAAGTCGTTCTCGGATTTCATCCTGAACTTATTCTTCAACTATTCAACTTGCCCTCCAGTTCTGAAAAGAAAGGACGTAACGCTGTCATCACCTTAATTACATACCCAGCCAAAAGACTGAAAGCACGCAGAAAACATAACAAGCAATTAAGAAAAAAAATACTTTGTAATCATTTTACCGGATGGCCACCCAGACTTGGAAATACAAGAATGAGGGACTTGCCTCCCACACGTGGCCGCAAAGGTTTCGTACACAAAGTGACCTTGTTGAGCTGGAGCTTAGGCCGCTTGTGGTTAAGAAAGGAAATCGTTGTTGATACATGAGAAATACAACCTACCGACATATCGCCCTTGAGTCAAATGTAAAGGTCATAAGAAGAATGGAAATGATCACAAAAAAAAAAACAAAATGAAATCGTTTATTCCCATTATTCGTCGTGTAAAATGTCTCAAACGGGCCTTTGTTATCTGTATTCAGCAACTTCGGTCGAACAGACGGTTAGCGCACGATTCGGCTAGTCAACTTATCAAGACAGTGTATAGTGTATCTGATTAACTTCATTTGATTCAAAGACCAAATCCCCCCCCCCCATCCCCCATTCTCCCCCTCTCCCACCTCAATCTCCAATGAAGCAAAAGGAAGTTACGCGGGAAAATGAGGTCGGAAAACAAAATGGAGATTAGGCTTTACATGGTCAGTTTTAGCCGCCTTGTTTATTGCATAATGGCTGTCGTTTAAAAAAAATAAAAATTTCATTTGCATTACAATTGGCCTTACCATGAAAAGGCCATTGTCTGAAACAGGTCTTTGTTGTCTGCCTTCAAAGGGCTGATGCTCGAAACTTCGACTACGCAAAATTCGCCAGGGCGATCAGTGTCTCCCTCGATCAAGCTCGAGTAAAGAGTATGCTAAGTAAGTCTTCTAGAGAATCAGTGCCCCCCCTCTCCCATAAGGAGAAACTAGAGTGGCTAGTGGGGACTGAAAGCAAGATGAATATTAGGCCCCTGCAGGAGCCCATTATCCCTGACGTGAAGGTAAACATTACACATGAGTGAAGATTACTTTAAATTAGTGGTATCCTGTTGTGAAGAAACGCTCTTGCTGAAGTAATAATAACCTATTATCGGAACATTGAGATAGGAGATTTTTAGCATGATCGTGGAGTAAAAGTAGATAAAAAATAACGATAAAAAAGTCTTCTAACGAGCCCCTCATCGAACCCCACACCTTCAGACTCACGCCGGATGCTCCACCACAGAGCTACAGCTACATTGCTACGATCAACAACGTCAAGAGACGAAATTGTGTGGGTAAATAGAAAAGGAGAAATGGTAAATGCTGGTATATCTGAACCTGCTCTAACATCGTAAGTGACCCCATTCATCTCGCAGAATCCCGAGCAAGAATAGGTCTCAAAACGAACAAAGATGGCTGGGCACCTCCCATTTTCGAGGCTCTTTGAGAGCCAGGGTCCGTCCAGTTATCGAAGGTAAAAACCGTTTATTATTTACCACCCAAGGGGGGAGGGGGGGGTTTGAATGATTTTGGCTATGTCGCAATGAAAACTACCTTATCCCACCATAAGGCTCTCTAATATTCTTGTGATCTCACTCATTGGCATGCCCCTTTTACACCCTGTCGGCGACCAGGCCTTTTCCGATTGTGCTCGGCAACTTTTGAGCAACTTTTGGCGTTTGGAGCAACTTTTAGCAGTTCTAGGAACCTCGAGTAATTCTGCATTTTTGAACAATTTTTGAGGAAAATGTAGATTTAGAGCATATATCAAGCTCGAAAGACTACTTAATGATACATTAACATACTTCAATAGGCCATTTTATAGTTGTGTACTTAAAGTTGCCAGGCCTTTGATTTGGAGTGAGGCTGAAGTTGACCATGTTGTGATACATATGAGACCAGTATTTAGTTAGCATGATAACAAAGTCATTTACATTTGAAAAGTAGCAAGGTTTGTATCATAACAAAGTCACCCTTAGCCTCACTCCTGTTCCAAAGCTTGGCAACCAAGCACGCAACTGTCAAATGAACTATTTATGTAAATTTCTTGCATGTTTATCAACCTTTCGAACACAAATAAACCATGTGTTTTGTTCCGTTAGACCTAAGTGTATCCCTAAATTTCGCCCATATTTGCACATCAGTCTTAAACACGTTTCAAGCTATTTTTATAGACCGATGAGAGCAATTATAAGAGGGAAGGAAAATAAAGCTTTAATTAACATTTCTATAAATATATCCAAAAAATTAGTCAGCAATTTGTGAAATTTAGATGGCGACTTTTTGGATTTTTCGCAATTTTTTATAGCCTACTTGTAGCCGTACCCTCCCTCTGCCAAGATGAAACGGAGGCGAGGTTCCGTTTCACCTTGAAGGGAGGGGAGGGTACGGCTACTCGTTGGCTAAATTTTTTAGCACGACTTTGCCATTCCAGCAAGCATCTTTTCGGCATTTTACGAACACAATCGGGAGACTCCTACTGGCGACGATCGATCCTCGGTTCCCCGCTGAAAACTATGTGATTCTCAAAATCCTCTAAGCCCCCCTCCCTTCCCCAGGCGATAAACAAATAATGCCCCCCCCCCCCACTATTCCTAACTGTCATTTATGGCTCAAAGATGAAGTAAAATACCAAGAAATCTGAGTGAACTGTTTCGACCCTTGTTACTTTCGCAACCATCGGCCTATTCTTCTTACCGATTTATGGGGGGTCGTCGATTTTCCGAACGCTCTATCATCGACACAAACAAATTTACTCAATTTTTTTTTCTCTCACAAATGGGCATATCGAAAAATAAAAAGGAGAAATACGTATATGTTCCATTGTTATTGTTGAAAAGAAATAAACTGCTTGGGTCACAAGTGTCGCCACGTATGCGCTCTTACTTTACATTGGATTAGTTGAAAGTGTCACGCGATCATAGAGCAAATATCTCCGTTTTCTAACGTTTTCGCGTGACAAAGAAGAGATTTCATTCAGTTGAGAGTGAACTCAATACAAGACCCCTTCTTACCAGGGCTTTTTTCCCCAGCAGGACGGCGAACAGCAATTTGATGTCACTGAAAGCCCACACAGACCCACTTTTAGCATTCTAACCTCAGCTGGCGAGTATAGTTACCACCTTTTACAAAGATATATCAGTTTTCAATACAGCGGTGTGTTTATCCATTCATCAATCAAATCTCGGTATCAGTTATCAAGCGTGGTTTCACAAGGGTAGCTTAAAAAGGAAATGTATAAATTGTCGTCACAAAGCTATTGACGCAGCTACTCCCTGTCACGCGTATGAACACGGAAAAAATACAAGTACCTATGGACAAATAGATCTTGCTTTAAAACATTTTTATTGCCACGAAGACAGGTATCAAAACCAAAAACCTACAAAAAAAAAAAAAAAAGAAAAACTGTAACGGCTCGTAATAACAGCGAATCATTTGAAAAATGCCTAAAATCGTGACATTACCAGATACAAACTCACTCGAGCTCATTAATGATTAACGTTTCATTAAACACATGAGAGGTGAAACCCTATTAGTATACATAAAGAATACATGGCTCGCTCTTTAACAGAATATAACGCTTTGTTTGGCGATGCTTTTAGGGTTTCAAGCACTTTAGAATCATTATAGTCAGTAAAACTACCAAAAATAACAAGAGTTATAGGCGTTACGAAGAGATGTATTACAATGCTTTGATATCTTACGCCAATGGAGTCACTACTTGGACTGTATCTTGATCTTGAAGCCTTTAAAAACAAATTCAGTCACTGAGATAGTTGGTTGAGAATACCTTTATGGGCAACATTTTTTTTACGCCGCACATCGATCAAGACCGAGCGATGGACATGGCTCCAGGACTGCCTTTTACTTCTTGGGCTGATTGCACCAGCATGCAAAGAGGACAACAGCAAGTCGCCAGAATATCATTCAGGAACGTGCCATCGATGCCTTTCTGTTCCCGGATCTTAGAACGGATCTGCGCCATGAAGAAGATGTTTGCCAGCGGAACAAAAGTGGCCAGTCCACAGAGCAGGCAACTGTCTCCGACCGCCTCGGCGTTCTTGCCAGCCGTGTAGCAATGACAGAAGTAGGTAACGAGACATGTGCCACAATCATCAAAACAACCGAACAATCCGTGAGACCACTGTCTTGCCATGGCGAATCCAACTGAATCAAGTTCAGCGAAAAAAGATCGTTAAGATACAGGAGTTGAACAGATGAATAAACAGAGCTGTGATCAGCTTGCCACGCCGTAAATTGGAGACAGCGCCTATCGCACCGGAAGTCATACCTGCTTTCTCAGAATGGCAGCACCAGCCTATTGATTGACATATGCCACAATGAAAGCCAATCGCAGTTTCGACGACGTCATAGTAAAGTTTTCCACGGATTCTTGTAATAGGGGAGATTATATAGTTAAGGCGGTGAAAATTATTTATTCAGCTTTAAATCGAAGCCAAATTAGCATAGAATATAAGGGAAAAAAAAATACTCGGCAGGGTGCTTAGCAAATGTAATGTTTAAACAGCTTACAGGGTTCTTAATCAAATTTATCGTTCGAGCGAATTTGTTTGCAATCGTTTAAATTAAAAAAGGAGATTTTTAGGTGTGAAAGTAATAATTTGAAAAGAGCAGAGTCGTCATAACCGACCGTTGAAAGAACACAAGTTTTGTGCTGCGCATCTTAAGATCGTGACCTGTTTCGATTAGTATCCCTAAAGGTGTGGGAGGGGAGACTCTCTTACAAACTGACGAGATCATTTCACATCAGGAGAAAAATTTGGTTGTATATACGCTCTGAACTGTCTTTACGGTGATATCCTAAAACCGTAAACATTTTTCTTTTTCAAAAAAGAAACAAAGGTGAGAAATAGCTTAACGGTGATGTTTCTACCTCCCTCCCACCCCTCCCCCCCGATCGATCCACCCCAGTAATCATGATGATCGATACTCGAAGCGAGCAGAATTGATTAACCACAAACAATACCCCTCGATTTATCATGATTTAGAAAATATCCGTGTGCGTCTTTGAAAGGTCACTCAAGGTAGGCTACCCGCGACGAAAGCCCTAAGACTTGACGCGATCTTAAATAAAGTTGTCAGAATTTAATATGACGGGAACTTTTGGGAATTTCAAACTGAGAGATAAGTTAAAATGCAGAAAAGCATCTCAGGCTTGTATTGCACCCGAAGGAAATCGTCTGAATAACAATTAGCTTGTTTTATTCTGTCCGGAAGCACTACTGAACCCTGCTCTCAGTTGAGAAGGCGTCGTTCTGTTTCGTTCATGTACAGCTTGTTGCTTTGTTTCGGCAACCTTAAAAAATATCGCCGAGTTTAAGTGCGACTTTCATGTCAGGCTTTTTTTTCGGACAGGCTGTTTGATAATTTATTAGCGTCTTTTGTTCTTTCGAAACAGGAAGATCTGAGATCCTTTCAAGAACAGGAAGAAGCCACTTAACGTTTGTCAAGTTCAAGCGATTGGTATAAGTTTTAGCTCGGGCTACGTGCTCTCTGCAACAGTAGGCGTTCAAGGCAGGTGACAGATGTTTCCGTTTCGGAGTTTCAAATGGTCACTCTCATATGAAGGGACCCCGTTGCACGAAAGAGAGAATATATCTCGTGAGCCTGCTTCTTTTGGAGTTCAGCACACAGGGGCGTTTTACTCCAATTAGGCAGAGATATTGCATGCAACTATCACACGCACCTTACAAATAAGAACAATTTAAAGTTGAAGCAATATTTCCGCTTGACGTTTCGTCGTTACTTTTTCAGCGACGGGTGTAAATTAATTTACTAGCACAATGATAAATCTCTTCAGCAACTTTTCTGAACGTATTTATAATATTATTCTCTTATTTCAAATTAAATTTCCGCCTTTATTTTTTCATACAGCAAAGGACACAACGGGGGTAAAACCACCCTAAAAAAAACACACATAAAACTCATTACTTCCCACGATACAACCGATCATAAATGCTTTCCACCAAAGAAAGCAGAGATGGAGAAGGAAAATCATTAGTACCATGAAAGTATTACGCAGGGACAAAGAATATCGTTCATATATCAAAGTACTTAAATCTTTCAACCAAATATTTCTCTATAATGAAAAAATAGTCGCATCTCTTAGTTTACTATTTTGAGCGAAAATACTAACTCATGCGAAAATACCGTACGCGTACCCTCCCCATGAAATAATCTATAAATATCATATCAAACAAATTTGCTGAAATCGGACATTACTGACGATGAGAGCGAAGAGATTAAGGCCTCTCTCTCGATATTTCATTTTTTTTTTTGAGGAAATAGCTTTTCGTGACAAGCTCAAAAGGTCAACTTCATGAACAAATCCAAAAAATGTAATAAATAAAGATTGATCACATCACGGCCCTCTTTTCAAAACCATAATTTACGATGTTTCAAATGATTAGTTTTTCCCAATTTTCATGTAAAGATTTCAAGTCGCTGTCAGTATCTGAGCAACAACGTACCTACACCCCACCCCCACTCTCCTCCCCCCCAACAACAGTAAACTGACAACTGGTTAGAATTGAAGTTGGGTTAAGGAAGGGGTAGGTGCGCAATTGCTCAGATGAGATAAGTGATCCAATATTTGTGTAGCTTTAATATTTAAAACTAATTTTCAAGAAAACACCTCTCTAAAAGCGTAAATTGTACATCCTTCCCCTGAGCTAGAAGTGAACTCGTTGTCTGTCTATCATCGTATGAACCCAAAAGCACCGACGATAGGCAAATTGACAACTGACGTTTGAACGAGAAAAGATTGGGTCGCGAAACAGCCTCTCTAGTCGATCTGGCCCAGCTTGTTTTAAGGCTGGATAAAACCATTCAGCGGTTAAGCGTTTACAAAACAAAGCATGCTATCCGCTGGATGGTACTTTAGCCAGTAGATAGCGTTATATCCACCGTTTGAACAACTAAGGCCTGGTGCCCAATCTTTCCTCGACTTAGTCTCTCGCTCCATTCATCAAGAGAAAAGCAGATTCCTAGCAGTCTACAGGCGAGGAAATGGAAAAGCTTTGACTGTTAGAAGCAGAGCAAAATATGCAGAGCACTCTGTGGAGAGATATCGAGACTTTCGAAAACTCTCTGCATCAGCGAGATATTTGCTTTAATAGAGACAACCCCTTTTGAGACAAGTTCATAGTTTACGCATCTTGAAATATTTGCCCTGAAATTTTCAAGTTCATAATCTTCAATCCGTCTAAATCTTCTCCATCCTAAACAATCCTTATTCCCCCGTTTTTTATTCTTGCCTCTTCTGTACTTTTCTATCTCACCAAACTAATATTTCGTAATATCTTTCCAGTTTCAGGAAATTTTTCCACACCGCAAAAAGACATCTCAATATCCTGGCATAACTCCCTTGCGCCATGATAAATAGAACTTCTCATCTCATATCAAACGTTTTCCATAAAAGGAGTTCCCTTTTGTCTTCGTAAGAACAACTTTAAATACTGCGATCCATTTTGAGCAAGCCATGCGTTGATTCGTGTTTCATTTTTACTATAAACATTCAGAAAAATCCCAAGAAGAACTATGAAACCAGACCAAACGTAGCTGCAAAGATAGACAAGGTAACTACCGTTAGAGGAATTACAACGACCAATCACAATAAGAGGAAAAAAAACAACGAATAAGGATTAAAAGTCAGTACACGTGACCGTCGAAAAGCGCGGGAAAACGCGTCTGATCCGTGTCAAGCGATAGAATCGCATGTGACAAGGTGCGTTTGGCTTGACACACGAAGTTATTCATGAAAAATTGAAAAACCGTGTTTGTCAAGAAAACATAGAGCTCAGTTAAGGTTTCCTGCCAGCACACTTACTGAATCGTGAATGGTTTTGCGAAGAATATGAAAGATAATACCATCGTCACAGCTTTCCGGCCAGTCGTCACTGAAAAAGAACGAATCACCATGTAAGGATTTATCGCGCACGAGAATTAATTCGGTATTAAATATCCTTAGGTTGTTTTAAAAGATGAATAGCAAGCTCTTCATTTGATGTTTACCTGTAACAGCGAGAAGAGCACCGAACGCTTTTATAAGAGTTAAGACAAATGTTATTCCTAGATATCCAGAGATTGAGAAGAGGAATGATAATCCGTAGGCTTGGAACGGATTCTACAAAATAAATAAATAAATAAAAATATAAAACTCAACAATTAAGTTTTCGTCATTCAACTACCGATACACAACCCAGAAAAATCTTTTTTTTTTGGTTAATCATTTTGCAAATCGTGCGCTACGTTTTGGCGCTTACCGCACGCACCATCGAACCAATCAAAATGTAGCGTACAGAACAGGCATCAAATTTTTTTGCGTTTGACAGTTGAGAGGATGAACACGCGAGGCGAGACATGCACGAGATGAGGAGCGCGAAAACGAAATGCGTTTTTTTTTTCGCGTTTCTTATCTCGTGCGTGTCTCGTTTCTCGCGTTTGCCTCCGTCCCTCTGAAAAACGCAGAAAGAGGACGAACGTCCTCATAACTGAACATGTAGGCCCACCACATCTCCAGATTTTCCATAAAATACAGAGTCTAAAATCAGTAATTGAATATGTGAGACCAAAAGCCACGTTAACAATTCATTACTTACTTTCCTCTCACCTGTGCACAAAATTTGAATGCTGGTCCAAGCCCGCCAGAAAATATCAAACCAACGAAAATATAAACAAATCCAATACTGTAAGAATACAATACCTAAAATAAAAACAAACGAACCGAGTACTTAAGGGTGATGTCCTAAGTATGGAGATTGATCACCACAACCAACTCACACTTTGCTATATGAACCTTACCCCTTCACTTCCCAGAAGTGATTACCACGTAACTTCTCCCTATAATATCGATATATCATCCAACAAAAAGGTAACGAGAATACACGAACTTATCAGGTAGAAATTGTAATCTTCATCAAACACCAATTTCTCAAGTAATTTGTCAGATTTTTGTTACAACCAAATTATCTTGAAAAATGGGTCTTTGCAAATAAATGTGTACACTTACCACTTCTGTGTTTGAGCTCTTGTGTGCCTTCATGGCCTTCTCTTGTACATTCCCAATAACAGCATCAGCGCACAGGGCCATTGAGATCAAAACTACCCCTAAGAAAAAGAAACTTTTCAAAGCAGGCATCCTCTTTATTTCACTATGAATAACCCAGATAATGAATTTCCTTATAGATAAAGATTGTTAGAAAATAATAATAATAATAATAATGATTATTATTATTTATTTTTGGTTGATGACATGGGAAGTGGTGCCCAATCTTCTGAGCAAATGAGATATGGAAGCTACAGCTTACCAGTATGGTTGAACTCTGGTTGGACAGTGCTGTCTGCTAAGGTGAAGAGTATTAAGCCAATGCTCATACTCAGGCAAGCCAGAAAATCAAGGAGTCTGTAGGATTTTCCTACAGACAAAGAAAAAGGACAACTTTCTAAGCAGTCTTCTTTGAATTACCGCATTGCAATTTATTCTGAAATGGAGCCTAATTACATCATAACTACTGAAAACATTTTTCAGAAAAGTCTTTGTAAAATGATGGCTAAAGCAACTGTCTTATAGTTATATCTCAATTCCAGGCAACATTTTATCAATCACAATTTATTATTACCTTGTATAATAATGCCTCCGATCATCACTGGAATTAACTTACAACATTTAAAAATGACCTGAAATCAATGAAAATTATCAGGGGCAAATTTAGAAAACTTTGAGCCAATAGTTTCTCAATTTAATAAATTAGAGTCACTTAATCTAGCCCTTTAAACCCTAACATCAGTATGCATATTCTCCATACTGTTCTCTATACATTTCCTATAGTGCTGACAAGGAGAATTTGTTTTAATCAACAATTAAGAGCTTCCTTAGTTGGTGATCAGTTCCTTTATTCTTGTAACCTTAATGTGTGATTTGGTGGTGTTATTGTAAGGAGAAATCAGATGCTTATCACCCTTAGAGGACAAAGGGTTACTCTGCACTGTTTCAATAATGCCTGAAATTAGAGGTTTTATTGCAGAGAAATTGGAAATTATCTTGCTTAATGATTCTCAATTTGAAGTGAATTATGTTAACCTTTAACTCCCAAGATCCAATTATTAATTCTCCTCACTACCTGCTACACATTTCCTTGTAAATTGGTTATGAGAATTTGGTATTTGATCAAGATAATATCCTGTACCTGATAAGTTTGAGTATTCTCACTACTTGTTTGCTGTATAATGTAAGGATACTCTGGGGAGAAGTGACAGGTTGATCACTTCTGGGAGTTAAAGGGTTAAGGAGTTAATAAAATATAGCGACAATGAAACTTAAATTATTTTTATTTTAAAATTCATTATGATTCCTGTACCTGTGTAGGATAATTTAAATAGCTAAGAGATGTATTAGAGAGTCCCATTGTGGCCACAGTCAAGAATGCTAAAAGTGAATATGTCTTCAGAGGAATTCTGCCAACAAGAAGAGGACAAGGATAAATATTATGGATCAATATCAGTATCTGGGTAACTGCCCACCTACCCCTCCCCTAACTCAACAACAGTCAATTGATAACAAGTTAGGGTTAATTTTGGGTTAGGGGAGGGGTAGGTGGGCAGTTTCCCAGATACTGATATTGATCCAATACTATCGTACATTTAAGACTCAATATGAAAAATTTGTTGGTTGAGAGCATTCAATCAAATATACAAATTTAGCATCAGAAGTTGAACTGATATGTGGAATAAGTCAAGTTCAAAGGCTGCCCAGTTTCCAAGCCCTTTGACCATGTAGAGTCCTCAACCTTTCACAAACTCAGAAAGAGGTGTTGTTTTTAAAAAAATGTATAATAAAACAAGTTTTGAATTTGGTTTTTGCACAATATCATGAATTATCAAACCTTGTGTCTGAGTTATCTAACCCAGCCTTTGCTTCAACAGATAACCTTGGACCTCAGTTTTGCTAATTCATGAAATCAAGCAAAACTGAATTCAATAACTGCTAAATGTTCAGATACCTTCATTTAGTCAAGGCTAAAGGGTAATAACTCCTTATACTTACTTTCTTGTTTTGTCTTTTTTAAAGCTGGTTTCAAATATTCCAAATATTGAATACCAAGCAAACTGGACAAGAGTGAGATACCAACCAAATGGTTTCATTCCTGTTCTAAAGATCCATTCCTGTTTAAGAAATAAGAAAACAGTTGGTCTCTAAATTCTAAAGGATCAGAACTCAAGACTGTCAATAAGTTTCAAAATTGAAGGAAAGTAGTGGAAGGTCAGTTTGCTGTGGACACCATGCTGTTTGTAACATTACAAACAACATGGTATTATACTGATATGTCTCAAGCATTCCACAAAGTGTGCATGAACCTTCCAACAATTCTGAAAATGTAGTCAATTCACACATCTAAACCTGTTACTAGTCAAATATGCATTCCATTCTTTTAATCTTTTAAATAGTGCTGCTGTGCAAATTTCCTAGATGGTATTTCAATAATTATTGTTTTCATCCTCATTATTTATTTCACTTCATTATATACTGTATAATGAGGTGAAATATGGCAGACTAACTGGTAGTTTTTACCATGACCATGTCCCAGTCTGGGGGGGGGGGGAGGGGGAGAGGGAGAGGGAGAGGGAGGGAACTATGCTCTCATACACAAAATGTGGTCATTTATCTCCTGATGAGAGCACAGTGGCTCACCTTCATGGTTTTGTGATAAATAAATATTTTTAGAAGTTATAAGGGGCTTATTAGAGAATGAGGCATTTTAGTGAGAGAGAGGGAGGGGGGGGGGAAATTGTAAAAAAAGGAAAGAGGGGTGACAAAGAGGTGACTTGGTAGCAAGAGGCAAGGCGTATCACAAAGTCATAGTTGGTATGGGGGGGGGGGGAGACTCACTCATTTCCAAATTAGAACTAGATAATATCAAAAAGAATAAAAGAGATGGCAAGTTTTGAGCTCGGTAAGAAAATAGAGAAAGATGTTTTTTCGTCTTGTCACGAGCGTAAGAGAGAGAAAATATTCTGAGTCCCCATGAGGAATCGAACCTCAGACCTTCGGATTCCGCGTTTCGATGCTGTAACACTTTGTCCCACGCTCGTGATAAGTAGAAAAGAATCATCTCTCTCTACATAAGTTTAGCACCTAATGTCATTCCTCGGGAAGATTTCACTAAAACCCTATCGTGTTTTAAACAAAGAATTCCTCCCAGAGGTGAACTATTGTTTACTGCTCTGTTTTCTTCATTAAAAAATAAATAAATAAATAAATAAAAATAAAAAAAAACTGTATGCATAATAAAATATGGGGTTATACAGACATATTGTCTCATTACTTACCTGAACATATCCATATATCAGATAAAATACGAAAACTCCACCACAACAAACAAAGAACTGGGCTGACTTCGGAAGTGAATCTAGAGCGATTCCCAGGACAACAAGCTCTTTGCGGCCGTCTGAACTTCCTCCGCTCCCACCATTAGAAATCGATATTATGGAGCGATTGAGCTTCAACTTCTGAGAGTCAGCCATCAGACTTCTCAAAGTTGGATTATTTCTCGCAAATTTCAACGTCTTAGGACGAAAGTCGTTTCTCGACATCTAGT